AGGCCCACTCAGTCCACAGCAGTCTAACTGTGCAGAGAGGTTGGTGTGGTCGGCCGAGTTCAGTCTGCGTGTCCTCATTAGATGTGTGTCAGGTTTGTACTGCTGAGACTGTTTCAGTGCTCCGATTAATCAAAGTCACGGAAACAACAGAATTACTCTGTGTAGTAATTAAAACACTCCATTAAAGTAATCCATTACTTGTGAGTAACAGACCCAACAGTTATGACACCAGAGAGGGGAAATGCCTGCAACACGAGCAAACATTTGACCTCACAGCAGGTCACGACTGCAGCACATCAAAGCCAATCAGAGCCCACGGGTGACGGAGTGAGCCCACTGATGGACGGCTCCTGTGACGGGTCGTTTCCTTTGGTCCAGTTTGGTTTCAGATACAACCGGACTTTGTGTGACGACACAAAAACACACTCGTTTCCTTCACTGTGTGCACGCTTTCACAACGAAGTAACCTTACATGTTGGACACATGACATTTTACCACACCCACTTACTGAATTATTAGAGCGTCCTCAGAGTCGACGACACCAACGATAAACATACATTGACTTAGAAAACGACGCGTCCACAATAAAATCCTAAAACCACCTAAATGTGTTTTTCTAAAACTACAGGAAGCGATTTGGACTCAACAGGTGGGGCGAACGGCAGGACGAGGAAAAGGGAGCGCAGATTAGAATAAATGTAACAGCAGAGCGGAGCTCCCCTCCACCACAGCACGACTGCAGCACCGACACCGGAGACCTCACTGTGCTGGTACCTCGCTGATGTTTGGACTGTAATGTTTCTGCTGCTTCACTTCATGAGTGAAGCTCCACAGCTACACTGGCTCTTTTTCCTCCTCACATTAATGTTCACACTGAACAGTGAACCCAACGTCGAGGACTTCTTCATTTATCTGGATCTTTGTTCTTATTGTGGGACAACTGGGTGATATTGACAATGACCTGCATACAGGAAGCACTCGGAGCACTCACAGTGTATTTTGTAGTCCTTATACTGTCGGTCTTCGATGGCGGTGACGTAAAGGGTTGCTCTGTCTGGAAAAATGAGTCCATCTGGTTTCTGTTATTGTATAAAGAGGGACAAAAACACAAGTATTCAGAGAAAAGATCAATAAAGTCAGTATGTTCACACCAAGTGAGCAATAAACGAGTAGCTTAAAAAACCCACAAGCTGAGCCTGGCTCAACCCAAACCCATGCATCTACAGACTTAAGGAGCATCGCAGACGTGCGACAGGAACAAAGGTTTGAGCGCACACACAAACATCACCACAGCCAACACTGTTTACACAAACAGTCACAAGGACTGTAGCTGTGACAGTTCAGTCAATCCCACACACATGGGCCAGTAGAAAGATATGCTGTCCAATATCATTACTGTTATCAGCTTCATGTAGACATGCTGTCGCAGTCCAACGCCATCATGGCGTAACCGTACTCACAAGCACACACACCTTCATAGAGAACGCATCGAATTCATGTTTTCCAAACAACCACAGGACTGAAACAGGACTCACAGAGCTCAAACAAACAGAAGTGCACACTTACCAGCCATTTGTCTCTGGCATAAATAACAGTATTAAGCATGGACTCATAGAAGAGACAGTAGCCCATCCACTCTGATATGATGATGTCTACTCCATCCACAGGCAGCTCCACCTCTTCCACCTTTCCTTTAATGATGGTCACCACTGCAGACACAAGAAGAGCTCAAGTATTTTTAAATATGATCACGTGACTGAAATCATGTTGGCTTCTATTTACTCACCATCATCAAGGTTGTTAGCCTTCACAATTTTCACAGCGTAGTCAGAGATGCTGCTGCACTCGATCTACGGAGATCAAACACAAACGCATCAAGAGACCGTCGCTAGCTGTGAGTGACGCCGTTACCACTGATAGGTGAATCAAACACCTACCCCTATAACCTTCTTGGCTCCGGCTTTGGCAGCAAACATGCAGAGGATACCCGTCCCACTGCCCACATCAAGCACCACCTTGTCCTTAAAAAGGTGCTTGTTGTGGAACATGGAATTGCGGTACGTGAGAGTGCGAACTTCATCCTTCAGCATCTCCTACAGCACAAAGCAGGATTCATGACACACAGGTTTCCTTGAGTTACGCTCTAAACAGATTACGAACTAGAGAAATACCTCGTGAATTCCAAAGTGGGCGTATGAGTCAAAGTAGTAGTCCTTAGATGTCATGTCCTCCGCTGCAGGCTTGGCTGAGCTCTCCCCCTGGGAAACCTCACAGTAGACCAAGATCGTCTCAATTAAACATCATCTTTGCTAAACGCAGTCTCTGTATCAACAATAGGCGTGTAGGACCATGATGATGATCACTATAGTAACAAGTTTCAGGGCTGGGAACAGGAACAACTGTTCTAGAAGCAGCAACACCGTTAATAACCAAAGCTGCAGCTGCACAGTCTCCAAATAACTACTTAATGACATGATTAGAACTTCCCGTCTTAGTGATAAGAGCTGATAAATCTGACAACCAGCAGCTTTGTTGGCTCCCTTTACAATTAGATATATTAATATAGCAACTCTGTGGCAGCCTTACAGTCCAGAGTTTGTTTACACACACACCAGGTATCAGCATCATCCACAACCATAAGCATCGATCATCTCTTGCAGGGGGAAAACCCAGAACAGGGCTGAAGGCGGCAACAGCCGAACCAGTGATGTCCTATTGTGTACTCCGACAAGATGGCGCTCCACGTGCTTTAGACACGGGGGCTGAAAACACGCACGTTCCCAGTCCGGCTTCACGGACTGAGTTAAACGGGTTAGAGTTTTTAAAACAGACTCCACGCCGGGCTGAATACACGTGGCCCACTTTAACGCGAACTCTGGCCGAACAAAAGATGGTGGCACATGGCTGGTAGAAATCGCGCGCGCTTGGCCTTCCTCGATAACGCTGGGTTTCCACGTGCACACTCACGACCTCCTCTGTAGCTACCGGCTCGGGCTCAGTACAGCTAGCACGTTTGTTCACCTCTGTGAGAGGCAGAGCACCTAAAGCTCCCTACAACGTAGTTCTTTATCACCCTGAGGATGCTAACGCGGCTAGTTCAGCGCTGCTGCCGCCTGTAAACTGCACCAGAGGGAAACGATCGTGGCAGAAATCGCATGACATCTGTTAAAGAACAAGTTTATGGATAAACTGTAAGAAAATACCAAGAAAGAGTTCAACTCTGTAGCACAGCTAGCTAACGAGTTCAAAAGCTAACACGGTAGCACCCATGCGGTCCACGACAGGCTCGCTCCATCGCCAGCAGCCGGTGACGCGTCAGCTGAAAGGACGGTTCTGTTCTTCCAGCGTCCCACAGCCGCGAGGATGCGGCACGTGCTGGGTGAGGTGTCTGGCCTTTCTCGGTCACATATGTTAGATGAATGAGCGCCAACGGTGCTAAAGCTCTATTAGCCTTAGCCATGTTAAAATGGATGCATCACTAGCTGGTACGCATGTGCTAAGTAAAGGTAAAAACATAACCGTGTACGCAATGTGGCGTGACTGTATAAAATGACCGCGTGTCGTCTCCAAAGATAAATATAAGTGAAGCTTATTTCCACACTAGAAGACCTTACCTCCATCCCTTCTGCTGGCGCCGCCATTTCGATCATCTACCCAGAGTAGCTGCGTGGGTCTGTAAGCGTCTCCCTTTGTCCCGCCCACGACGGCCAACGTTTATCTCTGATTGGTGCAGACGACAGGCCCGGCCTCCAAATCAATCCGGTTTTTAAGTGATGACGTAAAACCCTGCTTCCGGGTCCAAACTGAACTGCGTCCATTAAGACTGTTGTGTTTTTAACGTGTTTGAATACTTCCGGTCTTTTTAAGTCCCTAATAATAGTCTGTGATCACTTGGTAACCTTCACTGAAGCATCTGTGAATGAATGCAAACAATCCTGTATGCGTGGCATCGTTGTTAGAGGATTTCACCTCTGCCCCCCCCACACACACACACACAAAACTTTATGTGTGCGTATAAATGTGTGTATAACATTAAGGATTGTACATTAACATGAAACTGTTGTCGGAACCACACTGAATTTCACCAGAGAAACACACACACATATGAAGAGAGAGAGAGTATGCATTGTATGCAAACAGCTACCAGACAGCCATCATAATTCGTCATACAATGAGAACAGGACAAATCAACAACTGACAATAACTAATTAATATTAAAATCTGTAACATAATGTATTATTTGGAGTTTAGTCTGTTACTGTTATTGTTTTTACCATTTCTTCTTGGAGCAACTGTAACCCACATTATTTCCTTCGGGATTAATAAACTATTCTGATTCTGATTGTTTCAGGATGAGCTGCCATGATCCAATCACACATCTGCTTACCTGCATCTGTTGCTCGTTTCTCCTCTTCTTTTCTATTTTTTCTAAACTGAGCACCTGATGGCTTTGAACCTTTCTTGTCCATCTTGGTTTTAATTTTGCACTCCAGTATGAACACCCATTCCCCAACCCAAGGATCACCACAACATAACCTAACAGACCTACACCTTCGTTCACAGATTCACTTTGTCTAGGGTTTATTTCTGGGATTTCACACATTTCAAATCATGAATACATGATGGGCTTGGACTGACAACATTATGAATGAAATGTGCTCTATCCCCAGATAGCAAGGAGACATCGTTTCAATGTTTAGTCAATATCAGGTGATTCTATTGAATCACTGTTGAAATCTGACGTTGACCTAACGTCACTCTTGCACCCTTTAACATTGAAACAATGTCAGATATTGAATCACTGTTGAAGTCTGATGTTGATTTTCCATCACTTCGCACCCTTGGTTACTATTGAAACAACAATACAATTTGTCACGTCCATAATAATATTCCTATAATATGAAGCATCTGGCATTATGAAATAAAAAAATGACAGACATCTGTATCAATACCAAAGTAATTTATTACATTAAGAAAAAAAAGTTTCTTTGTTACAGGTATTGGTTATAGGTCACTTATTATTTTATTTTAAGTTTACTCAGGGATCGAGCTGGATATCGGGCATCCTGCACCACCCATGTGATCTGGAGCGTAGAGGAGACATTTCTGCACAGCTTGGCCGAAGGCAAACTCAGAAACAGCGTTTACCCCACCGGCTGAGTCAGGCCATCTAGGACACAAACACAAAAAGAAGGGGGAAAGGCCAAATTAGAGCTTAAATATGAATAACCTCTTGTCAGTTGTCTTCAGCAGGGAGAAATTATGGGATTAATATGAAAGTCACAAGGAAAAAGTCAGCAAACTGCTGCATCACTTTGATTCTCAAAGAGCCATTAGCTGAGAAGCTCAAAGCCTAATTTTCTAATAATGAATAAACCAAACTACTGGCAGTGAAATGTATTTCTATTTCTATTTGTTGGATCTCCCAATGATAGCCTGCTGTTGTATATTCAATCAGAACATACAGGAGAAGGCCATTTTAAGCAGTTTAACTGAATTTGACAATTTCTAAAGTTCTGGGTTACAAAAGTACCAGAACCTTTAAGAACTTACCATTGCTTTATTCACCTCCGGTCATTGCACTTCATCTCATCTATGTTGTTAAATGGCTAATCCAGAGGCAATACCCCAGCATCAACAGGGTCAGTGCTGCAGGATTAACCGAAGGCTCTGAACTCCTCACGGAGGTCCCCGACTTCTCTGATCAGCTCGTTTATCATGATTACGTTTTTGGAAGGCTGCATCTGTTGACAAGAACAATAACACAAAGAATACTGGCTTGTGATAAACTGGATAAGCATTGTGATGAAAAAAAAGACTATATCCATAAGTGATGGCTTCACATTTTGCATTCAGGTTTAAGTAGTTCAATCTGTTAAAACTGTTTACAATTTAGCCTTTTACATATAAATGGTATATGATAGCAAAGCAAAATATGATGATATTCAGCAGCATAAATTAGTGTTTTGAAGTTAAGATTACAATGAAATTGTGATGCAGCTCATTGTTTCAAAGCATACCGTCATTAGAGAAGGTACTGAACGCAGACTATTTGCTGGGGAGGTCGCATAGCTGTGTAGGTTGGCGAAAGGAGCCGGTAGCTGGCCCGAGCATCATGATGGTTGCTAGAAGTGAGTTGGGGGGGCAGACTGCAGAGTGGTGGAGCCTGTATAGAAAAATGTTTAAAAAATTAAAAATTACATACAACTCGTCTACAGAGGTTCCTGTTCTCACACACACATATATACACACACTAAACATTACATTATTACCTGGTACTTTCACACGTGGGGCCTGGGGAAACCTTTGATTTTGGAGGTTGCTCATCATCAGTCTGTAACTGTATAAGGGATTTGGTCTGAAAGAAAACAAAATATCAGTATTGTGTTTTTTGTTTATTTTTGCTTTAAGTTACAGTAAAATTTACATCACACAAAAATGGTTAAAAACTAGCAATAATTTGAAGACACGAGTATCTTACTTGTTTATGGGTCGATTGTACTTTACTGATCTGAAATGAGAAAATGGAAAAAAAACAATGTCAATAAAAAGAGGAAAATAATGTTATTCAAGATAAGCTCCAGGTAGGAACGTTCATTATTAAAGTCGCGGAAATGTAAAGTCACGTGATCATTCGGTCTCAGGTGACTCTTTCACGTGTTTATAAATGGAAACCGGTGCGGTCAAAGCTTCAAGTGTAACACACGCATTGTATGCATTTGTAGCGGCAACTTTCTGGATCATATTGCACACATTTGTAAATCGTTTGTGGGAATTAACTCTGTATACAGCAGCCATAGAGCGAGAGCAAGCCGACCGCACGGCTAACAAAAGCAAATCGCCTTATAACGGAAAGACATGAATGTGGGTCATGGAAATGTTTTCTTTGTTCAGCGTTGGTGTTGTCTGTGAAATTTATACTTTTCTCCTTCTGTTTAAGTTAGCTTTAGTAATATCATACATACGTCGACCTTCCAATAACGAATAACTAAATTCTCACATTCTTATCTGATAAAGCCGAGAGTGTCGTGCACAAACTCAGACTGTGTCTCCGGTGTTCTGACAAAACGTCCGGTCAACTCTGCTGAGCTTAAATGGAATTTCCCACTGCCTGATGGGATGTACCACTGTGAGAGGGGTGCTATGGAATAGTCCAAGTGGTAGCAGCTTTAATTTCCCGCTCAACCATAAATCGATGGTTTTTCAACGTGATTGTTGTCACCTTGTCAACTATAAATAGATCAACAATCAACGATAACAGAACAACAGTGAATCAATGTTATTTCACTGTCAGTGTCAGGTTCCATCAGTATTTTAATGTTCTTTCAACACTGATTTTGACATTTCAATCCTGACGATTCTGATGGATCAGATGAAAAATCAACATTAGTTCAATGTCTCCTTGCTATCTGGGTCTGGAAGCAGCCGGTCCCCCTCCCCTTTTGACGGGTTGTGTGTGAGACTTTAAATTAGAGATGGCACGATACCACTTTTTTATGTCCCATACCGATACCGATATCATAAATTTGGATATCTGCCGATACCGATATGAATCCGATATAGTGTTTTTTAATCAACAAAACTGTTTTTTAAATATCTTGCTGCATTTTGTATAAGTTCATACTCAAGTTTAAAACAACAACTACACTAAAGCTATTCTGTTATACCTGTATACAAAAAAAATATTTCATAGTTCAGCAATACTGATCAATCTAATAAACTTAAACCTACACCATCCTCCCTATTCTGGTATTTTAAAGAGTACTTAGCGTAAATATTAAGCAACCTAACTAATAGGGTTCCAACTCCCAGCAACAACAAAAATAAATAAATAAAAAATAGGGAACCACCCCTCACGCTCCACCTCATGATGCTTAATCGACGTAATCAACCTTAATTTGATGCAGTGTGAAAAAAAAATGCACAGAAATCAATTATTTTTCAAGAAATATTAAATAGATTCAACATCTTTCTTCGACAAAATTGCAGACTGCACAGATGGTACCTTCCCAAAGGAAAAAGTACTATAGCTTACTAGGGTATATTAGACTTAACAGTTACTATATACAATAATGGACTTCTATACATTTTACATCAGATTAAAACTTTGGGTGTAAGATTCAGATAAATATTAAATAATTAAAAGCTCGACATTTTAAATGAGAATAAGAAAGAAAAGTATGTCTTTGTGCCCCCTTTTCCCTGTTAATGCCCTATCGGCCCCCCTGGCTAAACTTTGCTAGATCCGCCCCTGCACAGTTACCAGCGTCAGCTACGTAGAAAAAGATCCTGGAGTAGAAAGTAATATTAAATAAATTCTAACAACAGCTGATCAAGCTTAAACGTGCTGCTGTTGTTTATCCGCTGGTTTCCTCTTTCTGGTGCAAAGTGGGCCAAAAACAAACAAGAGACACGGACTTGCGACAGAAAAGCCGATCAGCTGATCATTGATCAGTTTCATGATTGAAGTAGCAGCCGGAGAGCGAGAGGCAGTCGCTCGTTAAGCTTAACGCGGGAATGCTTTACAAACATTCAGAGATGGACTTACACACTTGCTTTACTTCTCTCGGGGTAACTTTGTCAGAGATGAAATGCCAGGTTGCTAGCGAAGCTCCACATGCTATCCAGACCACCGACAGGTCCCGCATGCCACAGCCGCTCTATCACGTGATGCATACTGCTCCGACGTGCTAACGTTCTGAGGTGAGTTACGGCGTGTTGCAAGTTTTGTGAGGTGCTTTCGTGATATTTAATGGATCGGATTACATTTTTTATTTTTCTCCGATATCCGATCCAGTAATTTAGGTCAGTATCGGACCGATACCGATACGTAATATCGGATCGGTCCATCTCTACTTTAAATCATCAAACTATAAAATATAACTAGAGGAAAAAAAGAGACCTCTACTCATGCTGGGCTACAGGAGGACAGCATGAGAACAGGAAACAAAAAAACCCCTCCTCTGCACAGAAAGCACATAAATGTCCACAGTATAACATTATAGAGCCTAGAGTATTTAAAAGTAGAATGGGAGGCAGAGCCTTCAGCTTTCAGGCCCCTCTTCTGTGGAACCAGCTTCCAGTTTGGATTCGGGAGACAGACACTATCTCTACTTTTAAGATTAGGCTTCCCGGTCTGGATGGGCCTGGGCCCCCTTTCCCTGGTGGGTCGCGGAGTATGGGGGTGCCTACTGGGGTCAGCGGGGGAGCTGGCCCCAGGGAGGGGTCACTTGCCCCTCCCTTCCTTCCCTCCCCATCTCCAGCTGCCTCCCTCTTCCCGCTCCACCACAACCACCCACACATGCAGGACCTTGGAGTAGGGGTATGTCACCAGGGTGCAGAGGAGGCTACCCCCCCCCCCCCCCCCCCCCCCCCCGTCCCCTTCTGGCTGCCTCTGCCTCAATTTTATCCCACAACTTAGACATTCACATTACTCACACTCTCATTACACATACATATAGGATCTTGGGGGTGGGCACGATACACGGAGTCCAAAGTACCATCAGGGTGTACACCCCACCCCTGGCATCGTTGCCCACCTCTCAATTTTAAATACACGTAGACATTGAGGGCTAGCAGGAGGGACCATGCGCTTACCTGCTGCTCTCTGGCAGGTAGCTCCATGCCCTCCTGGGTTTTAAATGCACCTTAGAACACACATGCATCAACACTACAATGAGCGGGTGGAGGGAGGTTTGGAGTCTTCTCTCACCCCCATTCTCTGCGACCTGCTGGAGCGGGGGGGGCTAGGAGGAGGAGTTGGCCGTCCGACTGCGGTCTGGAGTGTGGGGCCTCCCTGCTGCTGCGGAGTCGGGGCGGTCTGCCTCCCCCCACCGCAGGGAAAAGGGTAACACCACCTGGGTCTGGGTGCAGTTCCCCCCTCCAGGGGCAAGGGTACCTATACCCGGTTTGTAGAGTACGCTTGGGGAGTGTGATCGTGTGTACAGCGTCTCTTTATGTCTGTCTCCACGTTGGTTGAGTGTGGAGTAAGTGCATATGAGAGCATGAGGGTGGGAATGGATGTTTGTATCTGTGTGTGCCTGTATGTCTGTGTCTATATGTCAGGTTGGGTGTCAGGCGCCACCTCTCTGGGGACATCTCAGGCCCTCCAAGGTTTGGAGGCCTATCTCCCCCTACCACCACTTCCCCTGCCAGTGGCGGACTCCCTCAGACATCGGTGCGTTGGTGGTTCTTTGTGTCTGGGGGTGGGCGTCCAGGTACACACCGGCTCACTCCTTGGCGGCCGCTTATCGGGGCCTGGAGCCTGGGGCTCGCTCGGGCCACTTCGGAGGTGGGGTGCCCCCGGCGTCTCGGCCTGGGGCTCGGTCACTCAGGCACAGCTGGCTGCCGGCGGAGCTCACGGGCGCGTCACTGCAACTCCCCCTGGCTTCTGCTCCGCGGCTGCTGAGTGAGCCATCTGGGACTCTCCTCAGCTCTTTCTGGGACAGTGGCGCGGCTGCCCCTCTGTTGGTCTTCCTTGGTCTCTTGTGTTCTGGGGGCCTCTGGATGTCTGGAGTTTTGATCTCCTCCATACCTGCTTCATGCCCTGGAGGACGGGGCTGTGGCCCCCCCACACCCTCTAGCAGATTATTACATGAAGGAACCTTTTAAAAAACAAAAAACAAGCGCGTCCATGCTCACAGGTGTACACACGGGTGATCACACCCACAAACTACACCCTTTTTGGCTCCTACCTCAAAGCACACTGTGTTCTGTTGATCTTATGTGCTGCACAATAATGTTTAATATTTAGTATTTACTGTCATATTCCCATAGATCATTGTGATGTTGTTTATTCTGTTACTCTTGTTCTCTTCTGCTTGTTTTCTTTTTTCTTTCTCAGCAAGTGATCCAGGTGATCGATAGATGGATTTTTTTCTCTGCTTATTCTGTTGGTTTTTGTCTTTTGCCCTTCTCCCCCGTCCCTCTTCTCAGCTGTTTCTCTTTCCCTCTTTCTTTCTCCCCTTCTTTCCCCCAGTCAAGTCTGTCTCGTATTCAGTAAGTGAAAATAAAATAAACAATAAAAGGTGAATCAAATGGACCATTACGGCAAGGCTGGGATGGTCAATTTGGTAAAGTAAATCCGTTGGGCATCTTTCTTTGCCTTTAGACAACAATTCTGATGCAAAAGAGCCAAACAGGACAGGCAAAAAAAAAAAAAAATGATTAGGCTTCAAACTTTCCTTTTTGCTAAAGCATATAGTTAGGGCTGGATCAGGTGGCCCTGAATCCTCCCTTAGTTATGCTGCTGGTGGATTCCCATGATGCACTGGGTATTTCTTCTTCACTCACTATGTGTTAACAGACCTCTCTGCATTGAATCATATCTGTTATTAACCTCTGTCTCTCTTCCACAGCATGTCTTTATCCTGTCTTCCTTCTCTCACCCCAACCAATCACAGCAGATGGCCCCGCCCCTCCCTGAGCCTGGTTCTGCCGGAGGTTTCTTCCTGTTAAAAGGGAGTTTTTCCTTCCCACTGTTCGCCAAAGTGCTGCTCATAGGGGGTCATATGATTGTTGGGTTTTTCTCTGTATGTATTCTTGTAGGGTCGACCTTACTATATAAAGTGCCTTGAGGTGACTGTTGCTGTGATTTGGAGCTGTATAAATAAAATTGAATTGAATTGGTATCAGACATAGTGGTGCAATCTAATGATTAATATTTTAATTGATGCTCAGTGCTGCATGTTGCATCCTAAATGTTATGCAGCCATCTGCTGCCAGCTGCCACAGAACTGCAGCATTGTTGTAGATCAATGTCCTAATGCTGTGAATCTAAGACCTGATCATGTTATTGGTTTCAAATGCCTTTGTTTAGACACTTTTTGACCCTGTCCATTGAACGGTCCTAAGATGGCATATCTGAGTGCCACCGCTCCCAAATAACTGAATGGAAACGTGCAGGTAAACAGACACATTAGCTGGAAACCTGTGCTAGGAATCTCATTGCACGAGGACCAATGAATACCTGTGCAGGTGAAACTGCATGTCATTTGCATGTGATGTTTTCAGTTCTCACATATTATTTAAAACAATAACGTCTTTTATGGTTAAATCCTCACTGCAGTTTTGCACAAACTGTAAACACCAAAAATGATTTTAAATTCTCTTAAAATGTAATACTGGGTATTTTATTATTTTTTATTTTATTATTGTTATGTTCTTTCTTAATATACCTGTACACTTTGTACATGTTCATGTAAAGCTGAGAAACACGAGCATTACAGGTAAATGTTGCTACACTGATTATCTGTATATGACAATAAAACACTTGTCGACTGGACACTACAGCTTAGCACTGTTAATACGAAAGCCTACTTTTAGCATACTTCCGTCGGGCCGGCTTCCCTGTCGCTCAGTCGTAGCCTGTTTTCCATACAAATGGGTTCATGACAGAGTTGCACTGTGTCGGTACAGCCACATATTGCCGCAAGTTGTCCAATCAGCAATAGGGTCCACTCGAACGACGAAAAGGAGCGTAGGCGTTCACGGGAGTGCTGCGCGGTCACGTTATTCTGCTGTCACGAGCCTGATCCGAGCCGTACAGTGCAGGCTAACGAATTGGAGCGGACATCAGCTATTCAGGACATAATATTTTTAACCAAATTTAGTGCGCGAATAGAGAGCTCAAGGAAGTCCGACCGCTGGTTGGTATTTGAGACGCTCTATTGAGTTATTCCGATCGACCGGTGATGTGCTCCAGTATTTGAATGATATTGCTAGTCAGCTAGCTAGCTGTTAAGCTAGCTTTACGTTACGTGACTCGAAGTAATTGAACAATATACTCTCGGACAGCATTCTTACTAACACGTCTGAGTGCATTTAGCTTTAAGACATTTATCAGTAGCCGTTTTTATCTTTAGCAAATTTTTGTGGTATGAGTTATACGTAATTTCCAATCCAAGGTAGATGAGGATTGAATGAAATAACGTTAGCTTGCCATAGCCAAGGAAACAAGCCAGCTAACAGGGATAACGTTAACTTATCCCGCTACTTGTTGATAGACTGCCATCCAGCGGATCTAGTAAATGCTACCTGAGTTACCCACCTAAAAGCATCGACCGAACCTGGTAGGCAGCAGTCAGTCACAAAGTTGCAGACAGGCAAACGGCTACTACTAAACATCAAGTTTGCCATCGTCGACTCCAGTCCGCTGTGAGAGGGTGACCGGCATCAGTGTTTTTCGGAGAAGGCCAGAGTGAGGACAGAAACCTGCAGACATGCCGGCTGTGTCGAAAGGAGATGGAATGCGCGGATTGGCTGTTTTCATTTCGGACATTAGAAACTGTGAGTTACCTTTCTGTATGCTTCTTCATCATATGTGTTGTTATTTCATTGTGTCGTCAAAGTTGACATGGCTAATGTCGTTGCTGGTGATCGTCTCACACGTCATGCAGCGTTGTCATGTGGTAACCTCGACGCAGAAAGCTGTATCTAAAAAATCAGTTTGGTAACGTTTAGTGAAACAATCAATGATTTCTTACGTATTGACAGTAACGTGACGGTGGTGAAGTCACCTGCAGGAACAGAATAAGCGATGTTAGGCTTGGAGTGGCGGCGCTGATCAAACGCTTCCTGTTGTGTAGTTGTACATGTTGGAGAGCTCGGGGACGAAAGTTCATTGAAATTTAGTGTCGTGTCAGGACGCTCCACATGCAGGGAAGGAAGACTGAAGCTCACACGGAAACCAGTGGTTGGTATTTAAAACAACAACAAAAGGAGCAAAGTATAAAAAATAATAATAAACAATACTATTACGTGTAACAAAATGCTACATATATCCAGCAATTGACTGCAAAGTTTTATATAAATGTCTTTTTTTGTCAGTTTCCTAGTAATATTTATTCCAGTAATGACGTGAATACCACTTTTCACTGTTACTGAGTAGTAACAAGAACATAGGAAGTAGTTGCCATCTACTGTTTCCTTTTTGCTGTGATTACACATGCCAGTGCTTGATGTGCTTGTCACTGCACACCTGACAGTTCTTCCAGGCTTACACTGACAGGCAGTAATGGCTACTTCATGGTCGAATGTTTGATACCTCCAGCTTTCACTGTGTTATTCTGCCTTTTGGGCACATTTAAAGAGAAATTCAGCAGAAAATAAAAATGTGGACCAACAACTAGTGTAAATGTTCAAAGTGACGAATATTGCAAACATTTGCAGAGGCGTCTAGATGACTTGTTTTCAAACGTGCTGTATCAGGCAGGCAGACATCTCCAAACACATGTGATTGGGAAATACACTGGATTACATGTTATCAAATACTCATTTGAAATAAATAGTAATAACATGACAGGCTGTATTGGAATGTTATTGACAAAAACCTGTGAGAATGAATTTCAGTCTTGTTATGTCAGCAACACACTTATGTAAATCAGACTGTGCAACTGGTTGTTTTTTGTCTTTATATTTCATTTGGAGGTACTGGATGAGGCGTATCTGTGCTAATGGAAGCCTGTTGGAAACAGTTGTCTGCTGCCTGGCCAGTTGGGGAGTGTACCACTTCTTGGGCAGATGGTAGTTAGAAAGCTTTAACTCATCAGCCATGCTGGTTGGTAGCCGTCTATCGCTGTTTGAGCAGGAAGGCGGGCTGCAGGATGACCCATGATTAAATCCCATTCATTTATCATCATCATTGCTTTTCATGGTAAAAATGTCTTTTACTGACAAGCTCTTTGGCTTCTGCTGTTCCAGTGTTGCTTAACATTATAGCTGTTTAAGCAGAAAGTAGATCTGTCTTTAACTGTAGTGTTACTTCTTCAGACTAAACACGAATTAGGTCAGTGATTGGCAAATGCAGGCACATGGTCAGTAGGGCTGAACGATTATGGAAAATAATCTAATTGCGATTTTTTTGCCCCAATATTGCGATTGCGATGCGATTATTTTTTAAGGTCTTTGTCTTCTGTATTATTAAACAAAGACAAGCAATACATCATATAGTATGGCCAATACTATATTACATTAATTTTAAACTGTTCTTTCCTGGAAGACAGACCTCTGTTATGATGACATGAGGTGATGCATGAATTGATGACTGACATTTTTATTTAACTTCTTCAATCACAACAGTATATTTGAACATACACAATAGTTTATTTTTAGCTTACAAACATCTGAGCATAAAGTGCTGACAAGGAACCCTGGTGTAAACATTAAAATGAAAGTCAGTACAATGTGCAGATTGCAGAAATATACATAAACAAAATCAGTGGCTTTACCACACTCAGTTTTTCGACATCTGTGAACTACTAGACAGTCATTCAATTAAAAAATAATATTAAATAAATACAACTAATAAATAAAAAATACACACATCTTACTGATCTCTGCAGTCAGTAACATTACACATAAAGTGCAAACATAATAGCAATTGTATAAACACACACACAAACACGCCTTTAAAATTTAAAGGCGTGAAATTGGACGGTCTAGTTCTGATTAGCGTCACCGCTGTCTCGGTGGAGTTTAATAAACTCGGCCGTCTGCTTCTTGCTATCTAAAATATAACCAGACACTGGTGTAAATTCTCGACTGTCTCATACTTCTGTTTAATAAGTTTTCTGTTTGACGTTTAGTCAGCTGTGTGAAAACCAAGGAGGAACCCACCCGGGGGATTAATAAAGTTTTATTTTATCTAATCTAATAACTTTAATCTCAGCCAAACCGATTTACTCACGAACAAACAAAACACTGAAAAAAGCCCAACAATAACATTTTTAGGTTGTCTAAGTGACTTATATATTACGTTTAACCCGAGCAGCGAAACTCCGCGGTGATCTGAAAATGATGTGCCGGGAGTTGTGCCGTTCTCGGCCGCTTCAGTAACCCTCGAGCTCCCGGCTAGCTGTCGAGCTGGTGGGTAGCAGACGCCTCTGAAAACGTCGAAGCACTTTTGCAAATATGGGATATCTTGATAAACCGAGCAGATATTTGATGTTTACACAACTACTTTCTCGCCTGAAAATATGTTAAAAGTTTATTTTGTGACCCAGAAAGATTAGTATGAGTAATTTTAAAACTTAGTAGCGGCCGCCATTGCTGGAAACTGGAGTTTGGCTGGGCCGCGCTATGAATTCTGGGATATGGTAGTAATTTGGACAGCCTTCGGCACGTCGCTGTGACGTAATCGGTCTACAAATGCGGCCTCAGGAGGATGCAGCCCATGAATTTGGACATGTCCAGAGTATAATTGCAGCCTTTGCGGTTAGAAAATTGCACTTGATCATGTCGCGATATTATCGCAAATGCGATATATCGTTCAGCCCTAATGGTCAGGCAGTGGTTTAGGGAGAGCTTGTTGTGGCAGAACATGTGTTTTCAGTATCGTTTGATCATGTTTGGTTAATTATGGCCAAAATCATGATCAGGACGCTGTTGTGTCTGTTCTGTTTGATAGGGCCGAAGCACTTATAGTTCATTTCGATTTTATGAACATGGCACCAATTGAAAACAATAGTTGCTTCATATTGTAAAGTAAAAGTGGCATGGAGATTTTGCCATGAAACAGGAAGTTGTTGTTGTGAAATCTGGTCGTGTAATGTCCCAAGATGGGCCGTAGCCTAAACCCAGCTGAAGCCAGGTATTTGGCAACATTGTGAGGCTTTGTATTTGAGGAAACTCCTCGTGGGGATCTTACTGGATCAATTTTAAAATGGGATATTTTTTTCTGCAGGAACATCCCAAAGCCTTCCAGTTCATCTATGTGAGCTCACAGCAGAGCGAGACTAAAGATTGATACAGAAATGTGTCATCTTCCTTTTGCGATACTTTATCAACACACCATTGTCAAATATCAGTGGTGAGCGAGCCTGAATGTTCATCCAGTATGCAGGCTCTCTAACTGACCTCACTCATCCCAGCCTGTTTGACTTCATGGGGACACTCGTCCAAACAAGAGTTTATTCATTTGCTGGGGTGCAGAACATTGAATAAAGGATGGATAGTGAGAGCAAGTCAGAGTATTATTCTGTTAAACCGACACTAACAAACAGCCTCCAGTATTTATTTCAGTTTTTTAATGCATTTCTTTAATAACATGCTAGCAGGTGCACAGCGGTGCTGTTGGTAACACTGAGAGTCGTTGGCTCCAGTCCAGTCGGCGCTCTTTCAGTTGGACTTTATTTGTTCACTTCAGTTTTAGTTTTACAGATCGGCAGCCTGGCCCAGGGTCTACCCTGCTTCTCACTCCATGACAGCTGGGACAGGTTCCTGATGGAAACATAGTAGAACAGCAACAACGGGAGTCATCACACAGTTATTTTAACAGTGTGTTGAATGGAGTAAAGTCATTCCTGCTTTCTGTCTTGCAGTTAGAGCTGAGCGATAAAACAATAGAAATCCTGCAGAAACATAGTGGCTTCATAGCTGTAAAAACATGGTCATTATAAAGTCGGTCGAGCTCGTTCCATCCGTGTTTTGACAGAAAACATGAAAGGTCAACAGCAGTTGCACAGGTCGCAGGTCTGATTCATACAGACGACTAACTGCCAACTCCGTTTAGGCCGTAGTGCCCGTCGTGGACCCTCTGTTCCCCTTGGACAATAAGCGGTTCTCAGTTTTACTTTTGTTCTGCTTTGTTTACACTGTAAACTTTGTTGAATTTATGGTGAAGACTCACACAAAGGCTTTCACACTTTCCATTTTTGGGTTTGTTTCCCAACAATTGAAAATTGTTTGTTTTTATACCAAAAACCAGCGATAGAGGCGCTCAGCTGTGAAAGGCTGGATATTGTGGACACCCACCTTTGAGGGGACATTTTAGTGTCACGGTCAGGAGTCAAGTGTTGTTTCAAATCTTGTGAGCATAATAAGATGAGAAAAGTGTTTCCTAGGGGTTTCTTTTTCATACCGTACGTACATCTGCTAGCAGGTGGAGGGCTTTTTGTTTGTTTTTCCCGCTTTAGGCTGCAGTGGCTTCAACACAGACCACATAAGATGTGTGGAAGTTGGGCAATTTAAAAGTAGGAGCCATCAGACAACCAGACAGCCTTTATAGAGGATTACATTGGTTCCCATGTTGTGGGGATAACCTAGACTTGGTCACAAACTAGAGATGGCACGATACCACTTTTTTATGTCCGATACCGATACCGATATCATAAATTTGGATATCTGCCGATACCGATATGAATCCGATATAGTGTTTTTAATCAACAAAACTGTTTTTTAAATATCTTGCTGCATTTTGTATAAGTTCATACTCAAGTTTAAAACAACAACTACACTAAAGCTATTCTGTTATACCTGTATACAAAAAAAATATTTCATAGTTCAGCAATACTGATCAATCTAATAAACTTACACCTACACCATCCTCCCTATTCTGGTATTTTAAAGAGTACTTAGCGTAAATATTAAGCAACCTAACTAATAGGGTTCCAACTCCCAGCAACAACAAAAATAAATAAATAAAAAATAGGGAACCACCCCTCACGCTCCACCTCATGATGCTTAATCGACGTAATCAACCTTAATTTGATGCAGTGTGAAAAAAAAAATGCACAGAAATCAATTATTTTTCAAGAAATATTAAATAGATTCAACATCTTTCTTCAACAAAATTGCAGACTGCACAGATGGTACCTTCCCAAAGGAAAATGTACTATAGCTTACTAGGGTATATTAGACTTAATAGTCACTATATACAGTAATTGACTTCTATTCATTTTACATCAAATTAAAACTTTGTGTGTCAGATAATTATTTAT